TTTTTTTTTTTTTTTTGAGCCTGAGTTTCACTGTTGTTGCCCAGGCTGGAGTGCAATGGTGCAACCAAGGCCCACTGCAACCTCCACCTCCTGAGTTCAAGCAATTCTCTGTCCTTTGCCTCCTGAGTACCTGGGATTACAGGCATGTGTCACCACGCCCTGCTAATTTTGTATTTTTAGTAGAGATGGGGTTTATGCATGTTGATCAGGTTGGAATCGAACTTCCAACCTCAGGTGATTTGCCCACCTCTGCCTCCCAAGGTGCTGGGATTACAGGTGTGAGCTACTGAGTCCAGCCTGGGTGTATCATTTCATCTTTTCCTAGGCCGTTATCTCTCTTGTTCTATCCTGCCCACCTCACTTCTTTTATCCTCAGTTTAGCCACCAGCTTCATCCCCTTTAAAACACATTCTAGGCTGGGTGTGGTGGCTCACGCCTGTAATCCCAGCACTTTGGGAGGCTGAGGCGGGTGGATCATTTGAGGTCAAGAGTTCCAGACCAGCCTGGCCAACATGGTGAAACCCTGTCTCTACTAAAAATACAAAAAATTATCCAAGCATGGTGGCACGTGCCTGTAATCCCAGCTACTGGGGAGGCTGAGGCAGGAGAATCACTTGAACCCAGGAAGCAGAAGTTGCAGTGAGCCAAAATCATGTCACTGCACTCCAGTCTGGGCGACAACGAAATTCCATCTCAGAAAAGAAAAAAAAAAAATCAGAACTTTCTCATTAATAAGCAAAACAACAGTAAAATTTTCTTAATCTTGTTACCTTCTCAAGCTGCTGTCCCATCACTCCCATCAATACTTATCTTTAGGGTGAGATAAGTGTGAGGATTATGATTCCTGTAAAAATGCTTCTCTGTCCTGGAAAAGTGGTAGGCACATGTGAATCTTACAGGGTTCATAAGGCCTGCTGAGGCCTTGGCTGAGAATTTGTGCTCTTGATGTCTGTACTGCCCTTTACTTGATGCTTATACTACCTGTTCCAGTTCAGTGGAATAAATTGACTAGAATCCTAGGCTTACCAGTGACCTAGTCACCGGTCCCCACGCAGTGTTCCCATCAGACCAGTCTTCATAGTAGTTAACTTTGCAGTAGTGCTGCCCAATTTTTTTTCTTTTGAGACAGTCTTGCTCTGTCGCCCAGGCTGGAGTATAGTGGTGTGATCTCAGCTCACTGCAACCTCTGCCTCCCACGTTCAAGCAATTCTAATGTCTCAGCCTCCTCAGTGTCTGGTACTACAGGCACCTGCCACCATGCCTGGCTAATTTTTGTATATTTTGTAGAGATGGGGTTTCTCCATGTTGGCCAGGCTGGTCTTGAACTCCTGACCTCAGGTGATCCACCTGCCTCAGCCTCCCAAAGTGTTGGAATTACAGGCATGAGTCACCTCACCCGGCTTGAAGAGTTTTTGCTAATTGGATATTAGGGGGAACCTCAGCATGAATTAAGATAAGAGACGGAAGTAAAGGTCTAGACACCAGGATTATGTTTATTAGTTGGTTTTATGTCACTTTTCTAGCCAAGCTCTAGCCAAGCTGTACCATCCTGTTTTTGTTGGTTGGTGAATGCTTCCAGTTCTTTTCCTCCAGCCCTTGGAAGAGGTGGTCCTATAGTTGTTAAGCATTTGGCTAGGGTGATGGGGAGTGGGGATAAGAATAATAAGTGATGGGGAAGTCGAAAGCTGAAGGTCTCTTTGCAGGGTGCTTGTTTACCTTAGTGTCCAGCTCCATGGGTGTGTGGTTTCTTCACTGTCTCATGCACAGCTTGGGGTCATTTCAAATCTCAGATGACCTGAACACAGTCCTTTCTCATCTTGAACTTGTGTCACTTTGTATTCTTCCTCTGACCTCACTTAATGTCACTTTCCATAGTGGGATTGTATGTCAAAGAAGCTGTGCCTCAGCTCAGCTTGGGTCTGCACTCAAGGCCTGGCTCAAAGGCAATGTTCAGCCTTAGGGTTTACTCTGAGAAGCATTTACATATAAATTTATCCATCTGTGACCCCTCTAAACCAGCAAATCCTGAGCTTTACTTTCAGTCTTTTTTTTTGTTTTTTTGAGACAGGATCTCACTCTGTCACCCAGGCTGGAGTGCAGTGGTGTGATCTCAGCTCACTGCAGCTCGACCTCCTGGGCTCAAGCAGTCTTCCTGTCTCAGGCTCTTGAGTAGCTGGGACTACAGGCACATGCCACCATGCCTGGCTAACTTTTAGAAAAAAATTATGTGGAGATAGGGTCTCACTGTGTTGCCCAGGCTGGTGTTAAACTCCTGGCCTCAAGCGATCTTCCTGCCTCGGCCTCCCAAAGCATGGGATTACAAGCATGAGCCACTGTGCCCTGCCTAGGTTCTTGACTTTGTGTGTATGCTTCAGCATTTGTGTGTATGTTTTGGTGTGTGTGTGCACATGCACGTGGTAAGGGGCAGGATTTTAAGTGTCTCTGCCTGCCAAAACTAAAAATAGGGTCCTCTTAGGCCTCACTGACAGGCTTATGGGAGCCCAGTTCTTTCCAGGCTCCTCAGGACTGGGTCTGAAGGTCCCTGGCTTCCACCCTGGCACTCTTTGTCTCTCTTTTTTTTTGAGATGGAGTTTCCCTCTTTTGCCCACACTGGAGTGCAGTGGTGCCATCTTGGCTTACTGCAACCTCTGCCTTCTGGTTTCAAGCTATTCTCCTACCTCAGCCTCCTGAGTAACAGATTACAGGAACGCGCCACCTTGCCTGGCTGATTATTGTATTTTTTAGTAGAGATGGGGTTTCACCATATTGGCCAGGATGGTCTCAAACTCCTGACCTCATGATCCACCTGCCTCGGCCTCCCAAACATCACAGGTTTGAGCCACCGCACCTGATCCCCAATTTTTTTTTTGAGACAAAGTCTTGCTCTGTTGCCCAGGCTGGAGTGCAATGACGGGATCTTGGCTAACTGCAACTTCTATCTCCCAGGTTCAGGCAGTTCTGCCTGAGCCTCCCGTGTAGCTGGGATTACAGGCACGCACCACCATGCCCAGCTAATTTTTGTATTTTTGGTAGAGACGGGGTTTCACCATGTTGGCCAGGATGTTCTTGAATTCCTGACCTCAGGTGATCCACCCATCTCGGCCTCCCAAAGTGTTGGGATTACAGGTGTGAACCACTGTGCCTGGTCCCACCTTGGCACTCTTAACAGAGTTTTGCCTTTCTGTCAGTGTTCATGTAGCTTGGACATAACCCTAACCTGTCTTTAACGAACCCTCAACAGAGATGTGCCTAGGAACACATTCATAGTCCCAAATTGAGGAACGTTTTGTTCCAGATGAGGGATTTTCTACTAAACTCTCTCTTGTTTCCTAGCTTGGAATATCCAGGGAACAGTTAAATTAGAAGTAATTTATGTCATGCAAATGTGAGTTAACAATTTGCTAGAGACCCAGTAAGTTTTTTTTTAGCCTGTGGGATAGGTTCTTAGTGTTGAGTTTAGAACCTAGAATTAATGCTATAGAAGGTTAAGTATAATTGAAATAATATAAAAGTACTTTTGGCACTATTTCAGTTATATTATGGCTTAAACAAGCTTTAGCATTGACTTGGAAACCTAACCACTGTGAATAAGATTGTTTTTATGGGGAAACAAATTGGATATTGCCTGAAAGGTTCCCATTTGATCTTCCTAGAGAGAATAATTCACTGGAAATGTTTCATTTCTGCTGCCTCCATTAGTTCCCTCCTAGCTAGAGAAACCGATGCTTGCTTAAAGTAATGTTAACAGTTAGAGCAGCCCTGGCTGGCGCAATGGCTCAGCCCTGTACAAAATCCTAGTGCTTTGGGATGCCGAGGTGGGAGGATCACTTGAGCCCAAGAGTTCAAGACCAGCCCTGGCAACATAGCTAGACCCTGTCTCTACAAAAAATAGAAAAACTGGGCAGGTGTGGTGGTACATACCTGTACTTTCAGCTACTTGGGATGCTGAGGTGGAAGGGTGGGCCTGAGCCCAGGAGGTCGAAGCTGCAGTGAGCCATGCTCACACCACTGCACACCATGCCTGGGCATGCAGTGAGTACCTGTCTCAAAACAAAACAAACCCTAGCAGCCCAGGCTGGTCCATGCCAGTCACTTCTCTCCATAGGCATGGAAGGCCAAGTGTCGGCTGTGATGACATTCAGAGGCACCTGGTTCCAGGCTTGTTTCTATATCTTGTATGCAGACTTGATTTGCCCTTTTGAGAGTTCCTAAATGATGCCTTCAGTATGATTATGAGTCTTTACTTAGGTATGGGGCCAATCAGTATAGAGTGCAGACAGATCAGGCAGGAGGCAGAAGTTATGGAATGGCCTTAAACAGGGAGATGGGCCAGGCAGATGAGGCCTTATCCGCAGGTCTAAATTCAATCTGTCTTTGTAGGGGACAAGATGCCAACTGCCAAGCAGCTAGCTGACATTGGCTATAAGACCTTCTCTTCCTCCATGATGCTCCTCACTGTGTATGGGGGGTACCTCTGCAGTGTCCGAGTCTACCACTATTTCCAACGGCGCAGAGCCCGGCGCCAGGCCGCAGAAGAACAGAAGACCTCAGAAAACCTGTAGAACTGAGGGGCTTTTTCTCCTGAGCAAAGAGGCCCAAGGCATGCTGTGGAGAGACCTCACCTGCCACCATTTCCAAGTCAAGAGGACCAGAGCCTTGATGGTTTTCAAACTCTGTTGGAAGAAGGTGCCCACGTGGTTTCTCTGGTTCTGCCAGTCTGTGCCAGTTTGACAGTTTGTGGAGGCTATTGAATCATAATAGGAATGTGAGGGTGAGGTATACCTACAGACATTAAATATTTTGCCATGTCTGTGTCTTAGTGTTTTTTTGTTTACCCAAATAGTGTATGGGCCACAAAAAGGGAGCCTTGACTACCAGTTTTCTGGGTATGGACTAGATTACCATATCTTGAGCTCTTAGGACCCGTGAGGTGGGTGATATACAGTTCCGGGAGTAGTATCTGCCCTCATGATCTCAGAGGAAAGATTGTCCCAGGATTTATATAAATCCCCTGAAAGAATTCTATAAGGAGCTTTCCTCTGGGCAATGCACATTCCTGGGCTGATTACTGTGTCTAGGTATCGGGTTACTCTGGTCAGCATGGCCACATGTGCAGCTCTGCATCGAGGAAGGCAGAGGTCCTTGTTTGACAACCGTAATCAAACTGTACTCAGTAGAGAAGGATAGGTCCCAAGAGGAAGGGCTGTTGGACAGCATATGGTAAAGCAGTTCACCTCTTCAAGCTCAGTGGGTTAGTAGAGCATAAGGATAGATTCACTGTGCTACTCACAGGAAACCTACCTGGAGGTCTTATTGCAGAGATGTAAAGAGGATTTGAAAGACAACAAAGTGCTTTCAAGATAAGACCTCGTTAGGAAGTGAGATATCCTTGCCACCATTCCATTTTGAGCTTTGAGGCTAAGCTGGTTCACCTCCTTCTCGGTGATTGCCCAGAATATCAGCTCCTCTGGACACCTGTCCTCTCCCATATGCTCATATGCAGACTGTGCTGACCTTTGCCCCTGCTCATAAACCTCTTTCATGATTTTAAAATGCCAACTTTCGGCTGGGCACAGTGGCTCACACCTCTAATCCCAGCACTTTGGGAGGCTGAAACAAGAGGATCCCTTGATCCCAGGAGTTTGAGACCAGCCTGGGCAACATGATGAAAACCTGGCTCTACAAAAAGTTTTTTAAAATTAGCCAGGCATGGTGGTGCACACTATAGTCCCAGCTACTCAGGAGGCTGAGACTGGAAGATCACTTGAGCCCAGGAGGCTGAGGCTGCAGTGAGCTATGATCATGCCACTGCACTCTAGCCTGGGTAACAGAGTGAGACCCTGCCAACCAAAATCCATCCATCCATGTATACATACCAACTTCCCTATATCCTCAACTCCTCTACTCCCATCTTCTCTGTGTTACCCAGGGCTCTCCCACCTGCTCTGCTTTCTCACAGTAGGGTCATAATTCTCCCAGATCCTCAGTGCCACTTTCAAGTATTACCTTCCTTACCCAAGCATGAAATTAGTCCTTTTTGACAAACTTTCTTATATTCTCATTCCTACTCTTCTAGATCTTGGAGACTTGAGGTCTCTTGATTCCATTTTCCCCAGTCTGTCAGCCCCCTTTGCCTGCACTGCTTCCTTGTCCAGCATATACCCATAGCTGAACCACTGAACAACTCACTAGCACCTGCAGTCTCTGTCTTCATCTGTCCTGCTACCAAGCCTGGACCTGGCTCCTTTAATTACCTTCTCTAACTCACCCCTCCTTTTGAGTAGGTAAACTTGCATAAGACCTTCTACCCTGCACCAAAACAGGTATTCAAGGTTTTTTGTTTGTTTGTTTTTTTAGATGGAGTCTTGCTCTATCACCTATGCTAGAGTGCAGAGGTGTGATCTTGGCTAACTGAGACCCTCCATCTCCCAGGTTCTAGCAATCCTCCCACCTCAGCCTCCTGAGTAGCTGGGATTACAGGCGCCTGCCACCACGCCCGGCTAATTTTTGTATTTTTAGTAGAGACAGGGTTTCACCATGTTGGCTAGGCTGGTCTTGAACTCCTGACTTCAGGTGATCCTGCTGCTTCGACCTCCCAAAGTGTTGGGATTACAGGTGTGAGCAACTGCACCTGGCCCCTGGGATGGTCCTGTACAACAAATTGTCTTAAGTCCTTCACAACTATCAGATGTCCTAGATATTTGGTAGGTGAAAAAACAGTTTACATAATAATTAGCTGAGCATATAACCTAACTCCCTTTTACATAAAAACAAGGTATTTTGCACAGTTCTGCAGGCATGCAAACTAAATGGAGGCAACAATGTACAGTAGTTTGTTCTATTCAGAACATCTGTTCACTATTTCAGAAAATTGTGCCATTGATGGCAGAGCCAGCTCCTGGTGTTTGAGTCTGTGATACAATAGAATTTATATCAGTTTGCACAGGATAGTACAGTGTTGCCAGGCCGGGTGCAGTGGCTTACGCCTGTAATCCCAACACTTTGGGAGGCTGAGGCAGGATTGCCTGAGCCCAGGAGTTAGAGGTTACTGTGAGCCATGATTGCATGACTGCACTCCAGCCTGGCAACAGAGTGAGACCCTGTCTTTTTTTTTTCTTTTTTTGACACAGTCTCACTCTTACCCAGGCTGCAGTGCAGTGACATGATCTCTGCTCACTGCAACCCTCTGCCTCCCGAGTTCAAGCAGTTCTCCTGCCTCAGCCTCCCGAGTAGCTGGAACTATGTGTGTGTGCCACCACACCTGGCTAATTTTTGTATTTTTAGTGGAGACGGGGTTTCACCATGTTGGCCAGGCTGGTCAACTCGAACTCCTGGCCTCAAGTGATCCACCTGCCTTGGCTTCCTAAAGTGCTGGGATTATAGGCGTGAGCCACAGTGCCCAACCAAGACCCTGTCTCAAGTAAAAAAAAGTTGGAGGGGAGGGGTGGGTGTGGTGGCTCACGTCTGTAATCCCAGCACTTTGGGAGGCCAAGGCAGGCAGATCATGAGGTCAGGAGTTTGAGACCCCCCTGACCAATATGGTGAAACCCTGTCTCTACTAAAAATACCAAAAGTAGCTGGGTGTGGTGGTATGCGCCTGTAGTCCCAGCTACTTGAGAGGCTGAGGCAGAAGAAACACTTGAACTACGGAGGTGGAGGTGGCAGTGAGCCAAGCTCATGCCATTGCACTCTGGCCTGGGCAAGAA